AGGAAACAAAAGGCCAAGCTTCAAGAGAAGGCGAGAGATGAGCAGGTGCTGTGAAGAACCCACTGCGGAAAATAATCTGAAGGGTCAAGAATCAACATTAATTTCCCATCTATGTGATTGAAGAATGGATAGGGTGGAGGAGTGGAGTGGAGTGGGAGGGGAGGGGGAGGACAGAGGGGATGGAATGTAAAGAAACCAGGGCAGCAAGGAAGGGGATAGGAAACAAGGAGTGGGGAGGGACTGATAGGAGAATAAAGAAGAATGCAGGCAGGCGGAGGTTGAGCGTTATACAAACGCCGCTGAGACAAGGGGAGCTACGACATGCAAAGGCCGAGCAGGTACAGGCAAGACTTACCGTGGCGGAAGGTAGCGCGTTGTAGTCGCAGTTAAAATCGATCTTGGATGCAGCAAGGCGGGCGACGAACTGTTTAGTGGGCGATAATAGAATGGTAGCCGTCAACACCAAGTACTATACTTGGTATACTCAGTTATAGAGCAGTAGATGGGGAATGGTTGAAGGTCGCAAGTCGCAGCAAGTCGCAGTAGAAAGAGAAGAAGGGGAGAGGGATCGTGGTAGTAATAATAAGAATAATAATCCAGCTACTTGACTACTAAACTAAACTAAACTAATCGGAACCCGAATAAAAAAAATATTTATTATTATTATAATAATAAAAAAATAAATAATAATAATAACAAAAAAGGGAAAAAGAAAAAAAGAAAAAGAATAATGCTTACTCGAAGAATTAGCATTAGAGATAGGGTGGGGAACCGACTTAACTCTGAACCCCACAAGGTCAAGCAGTGGTTTTTATTGAAAGACCATGTAATAATAAATTAAATTAGGTGATGAGAGTTTCCTTTTTGTGTAGGGTGGGAGTGACTAAGACTGGCGTATGTATTTGATTAAAAACCAATTTAGCGAACAGCTCCCGGAAAAAGAATTCTCATGATCATTATCCTGATTATTGATGTTTTCTTTTTTTTATCTGTTGTAATATTATTATTTCTTCATTATTCTGTTTCCATTAGTGGTCTCTCTCTTCTGACATTACACCTTTTCAAAACAGCAGACAAGACAACCAAGACAACTGAAGGTCAGAGGACTAAATGCTTGGGCCTCTCTCTAGGCGCTGGCCATACCGAAAATCAACCAGACGAAAGAAACGACCCCCCGAAAAAAGTGGGTAAATAGGAGCCGGCTGCAGCAAATGATATCATCCGACTGATATTTAGTTGCTGGATTCATCACAAACAAATAGAACCTTGTTTTTAACCTTTTCTTTTTCGCCTGATGATTATCCATGGTTCTGGGGAGCGAGGCTGGCTGGTGTGGGCACCGGTGGAGGCTTCGGTTCTTCTTTTCTCTTTCTTTCTCTCTTCTGCTGCTGGACCTTTTCCATGGGGCTTAAGATTACTCCGTTTGTGTCTTACGGCTGATTGTTACCATATACTTACCAGGTCAGATCCGGTCAATCTCACTTGTAAGAAAGGAATTTAATTATAGCCGAGCGTGCCCACCTTTCCCCCCTCCCTCCTTATCTTAGAAACAAAGAATAGTAATCAATTTGAGTGTGATCGCACCAGGGTGAATAATGAGATATGAACAAAAGGGGCGCGCGCGGAGGGAGGGGTGGGAGAGGGGGGAGGAAATAAAGAGACTTCCGGTGGTGGAGTCTAAACCAAGCTTAGCGATGTGCCCGGTATGACTATCAAGTATGGGACTTGGAGCACAACATGAATAGTTAAGGTGACGCCTTTATACATCGGTATACAGATGGAGTAACTGTATACATACTAGGTGTACATGATGGGTGACACAAGCTCCTGCTTACAGGGCTGGAGGATTCCCACATACCAGATGTTCATTCCGCAGCAAGCATGCTGCACACTGATTGAGCTTCCCGTCCGTATCATGACGACGGAAGGATACCGTGATAGTCGTGGCGGCCCTCCTTACGCAGTTTGGCTTCTCCGGTGACAGTCGATCGACCATATCTTGACCGGTCTGCTGCTTGGAGGCTTGGAGGTTTCTTGGCTCCAGTAAAACCCATGATTCAGAAAATTGAGAATATTCTCAGTAATCAAACAGGGAAAGGCCAAGAATATTACCGTATTACACTAGGAAGATACCAGTGGCGCTCTGATCGCTTGATACCAACCGGAAATTGATTAGTGCGCGACTTTCTGAAGCTTAAGCTTAATCCAACACGAGGAACCTTAAGCTCGCTTAGAAGAGAGACATGGCCCCCTCCTCCTCCACTGTGGCTGGGGTTCCACTTGTTCCATGGTCGCTTTTATTAGTCTCTTGGGTTTTATGTTTGAATTTCTCATAATTATGCCCGGATATCCGGCGTGTGCACAATATTAATAAAAGTAAAACCTTTTTTCCGTTTTGCCAGCTCCATCCGATCCTGTGTCTTGATTTGGACCCCTACGCGATCGCCAATCACTCATCTGGGCTTGTGGGTGGTCGCCATCATCACCATAACTTTACGGCATTTCTCGTGTTCATCTGATCCGTCTTTGGAGGCCCTCCGTATCGTCTAGAAGAACTTTAGCACAGACCTTGTCCCATGCCCCCAATTCGTAATCGGTATCGGACGGGGAATACGATACGCTTTTTTCTTCTATGATTATTTAGGGTTAGACTATCCCCGGGTTACGCAGCGGTTCCGCCCGAAAGTGACCCTTTCGGGCCAAGACTGACGACATTTTTTCCCTTGTAGGCTCGCCTGCCTTTGCCGTTTTGCCGTTGTTTAGGCTTCGAGACTGGATTTTCGGGTCCTCTTATTTTACTTTGTACTTTTCACATTTTATTCCCTTTCCGCTGACATTTCTGACTCTTTTAATTCCGCGCCCTCGGACTTTCGGCTTCTCGGCAGATGACAACAGCCACTGTGGCGATTCGTACTCGTATCGGGGCGAGCACCTGATCCCGCATAGGGAATTTCTTTCCCCTATGATTAGCAGTTTCTTTGTCGCCGCAGTAGAACCAGACCTAAATTAGTCAAAAGATAGTCGCAATATAGGCCCGATATTGGTGATCTGGCTGGTCATGTTAAGCATTCTGACTAACGAGTTTCTCGGACTCTAACTCCGGGTGGCATAACTTCCAACCTATCGTTGGACCCAGGCCTCTCTCTCCATGCGTCTGAACACCTATCCTGGTCTCAAGCAGGGACCAACTGAGCCTACCAGTGATAAGCGCCAGGCAGATGGTTATTCTTTTTGCCTGCTAAATGCGTCCCCCTTCTCAGCTGAGAATTTATCCGCTGGACCAAACATCCAGGCTTTCCCTATGAAAAGCTTGACAAATCTTATCCGGGGTGATGGTTCGCATGACATACTGTCTGATAAGTATGATAGTGGACCCTCCTCCCTCTTTTTTCCCCCTCCCCAAAAACGCCTCTCTTTACTCAGGTAGGCAGGTCTTCAGCTCCGGGCGGCAAAGTGAAACCCAGCCAAAAGCAGAACAAGGAACTCCGACAGGCAAAGAGAAGAACGAAGAACTTAAAAACAAAGCCAGTCTAGGATCAGTCATATGCAAATCAATCGGCCACGTAAGACCAGAGCATAGCTGATCTGCTCGCGACTTATCATACTCCAATCAGCGGGCGTTACCTCCCCGGCGGCGCTTGACCGGGAAATTCGCGTCGCCCATAGTCCGGAGCTTATTGTCCAGTAACGTTGATTAGACTCGATAAAGTTGCGGGCGCAATTCAACCAGGATCGAGCTTTGTCCGTTGCTTCATTCTTTGCCTGAAATTACTCCGTACTTTAATTTAAATTGAAGGTTTGCCTTCTTCTCATTCTTCTGCTCTAGTTGATTTCATTCCACATTGGCAAAGTTGATCAAATTAATACTTTTAGCTTTGACATGTTAGTATCCTGGTCTTGCACAGCCTTCTTCCATTAGCATCCATCATCCACCGTTTCAGGCTTCAGCTTTTTCATTTTCTTATTACACCTTGGCGCTAATGGGGTCCATGATCGATTAGAATCGAAAATAACCACACTAAGAGAAAGTATCCGACCAAGCCGGCTAGGCTACTAAATTATTACCTTTTCTTTTTTCTTTATCACGATAGTGAATTAAATCGAATCGGAAAAAATGAAATAATAATACTAATAATAATAATAGTAAAAGCAACGTTAAAAAAAGAAACACATACTGAAACATGGACGAAAAAGGAAGTTTCACCCATTCGGGCGCTTCCCAAGTGACTACTTATTTACAAACAACTTCATAGTTAATGGCAATGTCAGAGAGGAGGGGGTGTGAGATAGATACGTTACAGCTTACAAGGGCCCAACCACAACTAACTAACTAACTAACTAACTACTAGTGGACTACTAACTACCAGCAGCGCCATCACCACTAACTCCTGGAACTATAGCGTAGCCGTACTACCGACTAGCGTTCAGGATAAGCGTATCGCCAACAAAGTCGGTCGCATCCTGGCCGGTTTTCTTGGCCCTCCTTGGCTGGCCCACATCAGGATGCGTAAATTATTCGGGCCAAGCGATTCTGGCGGGGAGTTGTGGTGGTCAGGAGTTGCTGCTGACACTAAGCTATACTAGTACTTACAGGGCTGGGTTGGGTTGCAGCTGATGTCTCACATGGGGCAAATAGGAGATAGAAGAAAACAAGACTTTCTTCGATGAAGGATGCGACTGTTGTTATTAATTTAGATTAATTTTTCGATGACCCCCATCCGGTGCAAGGTACGGCGTATCACACTTCACAAGGCAGTTGGCGTAGTAAGTCAGTAAGAAAGTAGTACAGTAGTGCAGGCTGATGTTATACTTGGATTATGAAGGAACCTGTCTACATTATCTAACTGCAATTTACCAGTTGCAGTAGTACTGTGTGTTTGTTTGGGGCCAAAGTGTGGTCGTCTTAATTAATTATTCACGAAACAAGTCGTTGGGTAACACTTATACTACCTATGCAGGAATCACAAACTAATCCAAGTCACGAACCGGTGGTATGTAGATTAGTTTGGTACTAGGTAGCTAGCTTGCTGCACCTTGTGTTCAGTGCTACAACAACCCAAGTATGGGATAGGATTAGTATACATAATGTAATGTGTGTACACCCTGCCATCATGTTGTGGGACTCATACTAATGTATGTTCTCCGTCTGGATGCTCAAACTCCTAGTTTAGCGAAGTAGTAGGGTGTCATTCACTCACTCACATTGCTAACGCAACACCCGATTCGATTTCCGACGTCTCCCATCCCACTCTGGCGCCTATGGCGGACAATAGCTATAGCACCTACATATCACCTGCATAGCCTTGTTTTTTGGAATTGCTCGCCCCTCTTCTGCTTTCCTTCTTTACTTTTCTTTTCTGTCTCTCCACCCATGTATGCAAGGCGATGCGGAGAGTCCGGCGTACCACCATACCTATCTGAAAATAGATCAGCGGGTGTGTATGTATGTACACACTCACATACATTCTGAGCAGATCGTCTTTCCTTGGGCTGGCTGGAGGGTTAGTGCAGCGAACCTGTCGATATTTTGTTGAACAATGATGTCAGAAGGCAGAAGAATGTTATTATTCTTTTGCTTTTACTATTTGTTTTTACTTTTTCTTCCTTTCCTTTTCTTCACACGCTTAAAACGGTATTTGCCCGTACCACTGGAATCTGCCTCCCTCCTCCCTCACTCATGCAACTGACGATCATAGCAGTCCGGGGAGACCGTCTAGATACACAGAGAACAAGAGTTCCCACATATCTAAGTTAAATAGGTGTATGGAACCAAACAACAAACGCTCCCCCTCTTCCCCTCCCTCCCTCCCAACGTGTCACGGACAGTTAGTTGGCGATACAATCAAGCTTTTTCGCCTCCCAGGCGAGGGATATTAACCGTGTGTGTGTAATGTGAACAAGAAACCTTGTTTATGGTCATACCCAAGGTACCATGACACCTTAAACTGTGTGAGTCGACTGAACCTCATTCTCCATCTGCGACCAATCGGACTTTGAGCGTGACTCAAAAAGCCCAAAGACTAGACTAGACTAAATAACTAGTGTGGATTGTTTTACTGATCTACTGTGACTGATTCCATATTTTTCGGACAGGGCTTGTCTGAGAGAGAATGTCTGTGTGTCTGTGTTGCCTGCTTTTCTATTTCCCAGTTGTCTGTGGTTCTTGCGTTTTAGTTACTCCGTCCGTGGGTTTAGCTGAACTGGACTATCTGCTGTAGAGGATGTATCTACTAGTGAAGTAAGTGAGTTGAGTAATATATATGTAGGTAGTGTGGTAGGGTAGTAGAAGGTTCGCTGATCGGGGAGGAGCTCTAAAGTTAATTTTCCTTCCAGTTCGCCTTCAACTTACTTACCAGGCAAGCGAGGCACTGGGTGACATGGTTTGGATCAACCTGGAACCAGCAATACTAACTATCTACGTTGGTTAGTAGGGACGCTATGCGTTCCGGACAAATGCGCAATGGGTCGCTAATCAGTGAGACCTGTCTGATTCAAAACTATTCTATCTGTACTCTGTAGCTTTTTAAAGTTATCATACTGTAGTAGCCTGTGTTAGGCAAACGCCCTTTCCGTACCTACTTAATCTATTCATCGTGTCTATCTGTCTACCGTATGATACGGAAAATCAGTCAGTGTGATCAATACAAATATTTTGATTATTTATTTATTTTTTTATCTATTCTTCTTTTCTTTTATCTCCCCTGAGTTCCCTTGCATAAACTCACGTCACACAAGAACAAACTTGCTTTCTGGGAATTTTTGTGAGTCAAGATTTTTTATAGTTACCCGCTACCAATGTATGCATGTATGTATGTATGCCTGGATTTACTCCTTAGGCTACTACTACTACCTACTGCTTGGGCTCGGTTATGCTCCAATGCAACCCTTGATTCGGAAAAGGTTTCTGAAATGCCAAGGGGGTTAGAGGGTGTGAGAGTGTGTAAGTAAACAGAAACAGGAGAAGAGGAGCAGCCATTTTGTGAAACGTTGCACGGGCTTATCTCCACTAGCATAATTGGTTTAAGGTAGATTATTTTTCCTCTCTTTCTTACTGGGAGGAATGGTGGGCGGGAAAGATAGTCAGGCTATTCATTCCATTCATCCGTGTTTTCTCAATAATTGCGAAAGTTGGGTTTGGCCGGTGTAATTGTATGCATGTAAGAGATTGACGCTTTGATTCATTTATTTTATTACTTACTTTTTATTTGACAGTCGCGTAGTTAACTATTTTGGATAATTAGATTAAGGTGTCATCGTGTTGGATGACGCGCTTGGACTTTGATGGTGGGCTTGTGGGTGGACGTGGGGGGTGGCTGTATTTTATTTTGTTCTATTCTATGTTATTTCGCTTTAATCTAATTCACAATGTAACTGATATGCAGGAATTTTTCCAGACTAGATGGAGCCTGTTGTTTGCTATTGCTATGGCAGTGGCAGTGGCATTGAGTTGTTGCTGTTGCTGTTGCTGTCAAAGCTATTTATTGACCTCTGTTGGTTGGTCTTGTAGTACTGCCATGTCTGTAAGCCTACTTTCATCGTCGCACTCGCAGATCAACTACCCGACGCAGACATTGCTGATGGAGATCATCCCCCCTCCCTCCCTCTTCCTTCCCTCTCAAGTTGCATGAATGATCGATCATAGCCTGTTTGAATTAGGTTAAGGTACGGAGAAGATAAGGGTGTGTGCCTACAGCCTAGTCATTTTTTGACTTACAGACAAGGGAAAGACAAACAGACTACCCAAGCTGTGCGCACTTTTTTCCTTCCTTCCACGCCCCAAGCCCCAAGGCTGATAAGCCAAGACGAAGAAAGAATGAGCATAAATGGCTGGCTTACTTCAATAACTCCAAACCAAGCGTGCTCTAGGCGCCCACCGTTGCAGCCCTAGTCGGGCGACTATTGCTTAGTTAGTGTGAAGGCTTTCCACCCCCCCTCCTCCTTGTCGCTCTCCATCCGCCACGCGAATGGAGATGAATTACCAGATTGGGAGATTTCCATGAGCGATTTGACTAATTGGCCGCCTCCGTGGCAGCGTATCAGACCTCCGTAGCCGAGGATCGCTATCCCTGACCAGGCCCAAGCGTCAAAGCGCTGCAGAAGCCAAGCCATCCCCGCTGACTACTTCGTTTTGGTCCAGCAAAAGTCGATGTAACACGAGTTTTCCGACTGGACCCTCGATTACCAGATAGCCAAGGCTTAGCCTGTCTGGCCTTGTGGTCTGGTCTTTTACATGGTGTATGTACTAAGTAACAGTGTCCTATCTACTAAGTTACCTAAGTTGGTATTTCCCCGAGCACAGCAACTGATCCTTTCCATCCATTCACACACGCCCTTTCTCCTTACACCCCCCAGCAAGAGTTTATCGTCTTACCTACTGAGGTTACTTACTTAGAAACATCCCCTTCCCTCATAGGGTCTTGGAAATCAGCCTAATTTGAAAGCAATTTTTAGTCCGTGTCATATCACATATGGCAAGGGAGACTGGCGGCTAACTCCGTCGTGTCCATCATCTAACTATCCATCTGATGTCGCCGAGCCACTGCAAATTTACTGGGGGGCTATTTTTATTGATTCTCGCATCCTTCACCCTTTTTGTCCGGGATTCGGCCATGGCAGCCGACCTGCCTTTTTCAATCTGAATCCGGTCCCCACGGAAATACCGGACCGATTATGTAATGACCACACCATAAGTTAGTTGGTGCGTCGGGATTGAGGGCGCAAAACCACCGGAAGAGCAGAGAGCTGGACGAAGAAGTACAGGTGTCCTCATCTGAGTCAAGTTGCCGAGCAAGCCAGCCGATACGAGCGAGGGTCGCGTAGGCGATCCACGGTCCCCATTCTAGGCAAAAAGGGCCAGAGGATCGATCATCAGTCGTCCATACTCCATCCATGTCAGTTTTACGCTCATACTCCGAAGTAGTGCCCTGCTGGTCTGGCGCCGGACAAAGGCCGAGAGAATATGCTTAACACCAGTAAGGTTGGCAACTTGGCATTCGCCCCCCCGCGTGGTATTCCTCCGCAGTTTGACTAAAGGGAATACAAAGTAATACTGGCTACGTACGAAGTGCTCAGCAGGATTGAGCCCATCAGCCATGGATTCCTTCCTCCCCGTCTCCCAAGTCTTTGTTTTCCAACGCTTACTTGACCACGACTTTTTTTCAGTGGAAGTATATTAGTAACTATATTCCCTCAACTGGGGCATCCTCTTTTCGAACGGACCCTCCCCCCACGATGGATGCTGACCCTGTTCAGCGCTGTCTCGTGCCGATATTAAACGATCCATCCAGTCATTTCGCCTGTTCAGCCCAATAGTTAAAGCTTTCCGTCTGAAACCGCCCGACGACCCTTTCCTCTCGCGACCATCGTAAACGAAGTGGATCGCTGCCATCCTGATTTGGGCAACCGGCGTAGCGAGGCTCCGCCCAGACCGCAGCTTGGAGGGAATAAAGTATCCGTTCGGTGTGGACCCCGTCCAGAATCCAGCGCCCAGGTAGGTCGGTTAGTTAGGCTTTCCCCCCCTCTTCTTCCCTTCTGTTCCTGATTCCTGGGTACGGAGCACTAGGCAACGATTTCGATTGAAAGGGGACCGACCCAACTGGCGCTGAGGGTGTGGATGGTTTCACACCTATCCGCAGCTCCCGAATCCAATCATCCGCCACATCCCTGAGACGTGTAGGGTAATCGCGGTGACCTTCCAGAAACCGAATCATCGACGAAGAATGGATTGAACTTCGGCGCGGAAAAGAACATGCTTCCTCCGGATAGTCCGATAGAGATCCACTTTGCGCAGATAATGTAGAGCTGAGCCCACTCTGTGTGCGTGTACTCGGTATGTGAGAGTATTCATGTTCTCCGTAAACAGATAGATTGTCAGTCGTTCCATGATCCATCAGATGGGGCCAAGGTTTTTTTGGCCCCTCTCTCCCTTTGATGATGATGACTTCTTTGAGCTAATTTGACTTGCTGGGCGTTTCTGTCGTTTTCTTGTCTTTCTTCCTTACACACCCTGGGTAATCTATGACAGTACAGACGGTATCGTAAGATTGACACGTGAGATCACGCCAGCAGAGCCTGCCATGGCAGTATCTTACCGCTATTCCCGCCGCTCCCCGTGCGTAGTTTATGTTGTTCACGTGCCAATCTACCATCCATGCTACCCACAAACAAACAATCATCTTGGTGATACACTCCGACAAGCCATCCATTAAGTCTGGGCCAGTATGTGATCACTTCACTTGTCACAACATTGACTAAAAGTTATCACGAAGATGGGTTAGACTTAGTGCCTCCGTCGTCTTACTTGCCACTCCACAACGAAGTCATTCGATCACTAGGTAAACTAATTAGAAAGCTGGAACGCCGGTCCGCCGTTGCTGGCGCCGGAACTACTGCCCTGGATTGATTGCCTTCAAGCCACTAAATGAAGTCTCGAGCATTCCACGAATTAGTGTGTCTCGTTGGACGCTTGGCTACACCTCTTTGCGGTGCCCGTTCATACATCCATCCATGGATAATAATGACTCATGATGACAGAGACATATACTGATGGGCTTTATCTCTACCTAATCAGTTGGGAACTATACACAAACTATCCGGAACAAGTTGGCCATGAGCCATAATGATGCTGCTTTCTACAGTCAAGAAGGGACGGGACGATGCGAGAAAAACATGCTCTTCTATACGTACAAATAGGATTGGTATTGGCTGCCAGCCAGATCAGCCATCTACCGAAAAGTTAACCCTATAGCCTTGTTTTTCTGGCAGTGATTGAAGGGCTATTTTGCTCGATACTACGCCTCCGATGTCAACCTCTGATCCGTCGATCCTGCATTCCGAGAGACTGTTTCCAAACAAGGAAGCTATCTCGGATTGCATCGTTGCCTTGTCTTTACTGGATGCCACCACGGTAGACTTCTTGGATGCAAGCGCTGTTTGGCTCTTTGAGTGTGAGCAGCAAAACCGCGGCAATCTGGTGAACCACCTCCGTCAATCTCTCAGGATCACGCTGGATGCTTATCCTCAATGGTGTGGCTTGATTAAGGCTGTTGACTCGGTGGATGGCCTTGCAGTTGCTGATCGAGATCGGCTGGCGCCTCATGCCCGCCGTTTTGGCCGGGTGTATGTCCATTATGGCACGCGGGCTGACCCAGGCGCTGAATTCGTCACTGCACGTGCGACTGATACTCTCGATGGTCTCTGTCCTTCCTCTCGTACGACATCTCAGCCTCTCTGGAATCAGGAAAAGGTGGCTTTATCGAAGTTTGTCCCAAAGACTTGCTTGGCGAACCCGCTCAAGCAACCTATTGTCAACAATGCAGATATTACCCCTCCGGTCATGGCCATTCAAGTCACGGAATTGGCCTGTGGAGGGTTCGCCCTAGCAGTCAAAATAGCTCATCCTTTAGCGGATGCGCAGTCACTGTTTCACTTCGTCAAAGACTGGGCAAGTGTTAGCCGTTCTGCGTTACTGTGCGAGCCTATACCAGTATTGAAACCTTTGTTTGAGCCGGCGCGACTCGACGACGCAGCAGCAGGGGATATCAATGCTGCTACGCCGGACGAGTCGATCATCGAACAGACAAAAAGCCTACCGTTTCATCGCTACGACTGGTGGAACGTGCCCCCTGACTCTCCTCTGAAGACACGCATCCCTGAAGCTTTCCGGAACCAGGACATTCCCCCAGCGGGGAAACAAATACCATGGTCAGATTGGGACACGAAAGCGCCGGTGTCTCATTACATCGTGCACCTGAGTCGCGAGCAGGTCGAGAAGATCTGGACACAAGCCAACAACGTATCCGCCACAACCACAAAGACTAATCGACTGAGTCGACACGATGCCATTCTGGCACATATATGGTCAAGCATCAACCGAGCTCGGAAGATGCAACACGACCCCGGGCCGGTCCACTGCGACCTGGCGTACGGGTGCCGACCGGCGTTTCATCTGAGCGATGCCTTTATGGGGTCGCTTTCCGTGATGGTTAATGTGGAGATGGCTGGGGCGGAACTGACGACGACTGCAAACTCGGACGGCAAGGAAACTGCCGTACTTCCGCCCATCGCGCACCGCATCCGCCAAACTCTTCTTCAGCTGAAGAATCACCCGGCCCGCTTGGCTGCCCACCTCCACCGTCTGGCATACGAAACGTCTCCGCAGCGCATTTGGCAGGGATTTCTGGGTTCTCGGCACGTTATGGTGACGACGTGGGCGTGCGCAGGGCTGTATGATGTGGATTTTGGGTTGGGTCCACTTTCTTCTTCCTCGGCTCGCTACGCGGATGGTATCCTCGCCAATCTCGATGGCCTCGTCTTGATCAAAGAGGCACCACCGTCGCCGTCGCCATCCGATCGGGAGTCGGAGGTCAGGCACTGCCGCGTTCCGTCGGCTTGGACGGAGCATGGTGTGGATGTGCAGATTCATCTCCGGAGTGAAGATATGCTCCGGTTGTTAAGAGATCCGTTGCTATTGCCGGACACTATGTAGACCAAAACTATTTACATAACTAACTAACCTTAGTCTGAGTTTGCTACGTATACTCCATCGAATCAGATAGATTACTAAGCGGATGATCATAGATACTCTGCTTGGCAGCTACACTGTCGTGAAATGTACCCACTTGCATATACTTCTAACCCCTATCTACTGTCTAGGACTTGGCTTCAACGGCCGTCTTGTCTTCCCCTGAATCTATAATAAGTTTTTTTAAGCATCTACTACTGATTAGGCCTAGAGTTACGCCTCTTATAGTAAGTATCGTTTGTAATGATTCGAATGTAATACGATACCTTAGATGCATATACTATATACACATAACTAGGTACAGTCTGAACCATGCATGCATAACATAACATAAAATGACATAAAGCCCACTCTGTAATTTCCACATGTCCCTACTACTTCATATACTACTAAATAGTAAGTAACTACTAGTTAGTGCACTATGGTCATGTTATCTATATATATAGAATATGAATTTGATGAAATAGGAATATATTTTACCCGGTGTGGTCTTTAATAATAGTAATAGTAGTAGTAACTAGTAGTAACACTCATGAGTATATATCTCATAGAACTCAATACTACTTTAGTAGCAGTTCCTATTCATTTTTTTTTCCCACGTAGGATGGAGAAAATATACACAGAGTAAAAGTTCTGCCCTACCATGTATTCCACTACAGTACTAGTACTACATACATACATACACACTCACTCATACATAAGTAATAATTTAGTCAACTTAATTTACTAACCAACAAGTAAGCATGCATTCGCCGAACTTATCCCAACATCAATCAATGCATTGATTAATTCTCTTAGTGCTTACTTCCCATCTCGAGTCATAACAATTAACTGACTAGTTAGTTAACGTTACTGATAACTTAACTTAACGGTCATATCCAAGTTACCTACCTGGTAACTACGGCTACTTTTTATTGTGGCTTGGTGCTTACTTACAGTAGCTTATCTAGCTAATGCATGGTCTAGTTTCAGGTTATTTGTTTGGGAGGGGAGGATAGGGGAGGGGGGCAGTGATGGAGTGAACTAGTTGACTGATATGGATTTTATTATCTGTTAAGTAGGTAAATAAGTAATCTCTTTGGTTGGTTGTTATTATGTTGGGGTTGTGGATGAGGCGATGACAGGTACTAATTAGTATAGAAGGTAATTAGTTTAGCTACCTAAGTAGGTAAGTGTCTAGGGTAGTTAGTATAGTGTGATGGCTGTGTAGGGTGTGCTGGGGTGCTAAGCCTTGGGGTGTGTGTGTGTGGTCTTGAACTAACTGGTTAGTTGGTGTTTTGATTGATTGCTTACTATGCTCGTGCTTATGCTTATGCCTGTCACTGTTGGTCGTTTTGTTACTTACATTTGGTTGGTAGATAACTGGTTACTGGTTACTGGTGTATGTTACAATGTGAGAATTTAGAAACTATAATACATTTAATTTTTCGAGTAAATGGTGATGATAATATACATGTCTCGTCTTGTCCCATCCTGGTCTAGCAATCCGCCCGACCGAAGTATCTAGGGAACGCGACAATATCTCTAACACTGGACACGCCAGCCAAATACCCCAGGAAGCGATCGAACCCGAGTCCGAAGCCTCCGTGCGGCGCGGTACCCCATCGACGGAGGTCGGCGTACCATTGGAGATGGCCTAGTTCTTCGCCGGGGAGGAGATGAGGGTACAGCTCTTCTGCTTGATGGGAGGTGGGCGTGGCTGTGTCAGTGCCGTCATTCGATGCGGCAAGGTTCTTGATCAAACCATGTTGGCGCATGTTCTGAATGATCTCCGGGAGGCGGTGCTCGCGGAGTGAGCCGCCAGCTACTTCGCTGACCTCTGGTAGGAGAAGGTCAAAGCAGGCGACTGTTTCACCGTGGGTGGTGGCCGCTGATGCGTGCGAAGGGGCCATGTAGAAAGGTTTGATTGGCTTGGGATAGTCGGTTACGAAGACTGGGTGCCCGTGGTTGAGCACGTCAACGATGTATTTCTCGTGTTCGAGTTGGAGACCGCCCTCCCACGTTGGGGGGTACTCGAAGGTGGCGGAGTCCTTGGCGACGGCGTCTTGGAGGAGCTCGATTGCTTCGGTGTATGTCATGCGTCGCCATTTGGGCCCGTCGATCATGTCCTGCCACCGTTGGCGAAGGTCAGCAGGGTCTATGGTTGTTGCCGATTCATCCGAGTTGGATTCACCGGGGCGTTTCGTGGTGAGGATTTCCTGTCCGACGGGCGTGTCGTAGAGGCGACGGGTTAGGTCGCGGAGAAGGTACTCGACAAGGTCTGTGAGGGTGTCCAGGTCGGTCATGAAGTTTGCCTCTGCTTCTAACATGTAGAACTCGCTGAGGTGACGCGGCGTGTCGCTCTTCTCCGCCCGGAACATTGGTGACATGGTCCATACGTTTCCTAGCTCCGCAGCGTATGCTTCCAGATGCAGCTGGGATGATACCGTGAGGTATTTGGGAGCGCGGAAGAAGTGGTCGCCATCGGCTGGCGTCGTCCCTACAGCCTCACGCGGTAGCACTGTGAATGTTTCCCCGGCTCCTTCGCAGTCCGACGATGTGATTAGCGGCGGGTGCACCTGAACGAAGCCGCCATTGGGGGCGTGCCGAAACACATTTCCGAGTTGGTATAGGCATTCTGATCTGAATCGCGAGAGGAGGGAATTGAAGGGTGTGCGAAGGCGTAGGTGGGGGATTTGACGGAGGAATTCGGGACTATGGTATTTCTTTTGAATAGGGTAGGTCTACGTAAGAATCATTGTGAGTTAGTATACGTCTGTAATTGAGGACGAGAGGATCCTACCTCGGGGTCGGTCTTTCCCACGATGTTCACAGAGGTGGCCTGCAGCTCATGTGTCTGCTCCTTGCCTGGCGGACATGCCTTCCATACTCCTGACATTTCAACAGCTGTTCCGGTAGATAGTCTGGAGAGCGTGCGAGCGACAGTCAGCATCTAGGGTCGTGGGTGAAAGATTTCGAGATCGCGGAGGACGTACTCGGCAGCCTGGGAGGGATTCAAGATAGCCTGCAAAGGCTTGACTGTCGATCCATCGGAGATCTCAGCAAAAGCGAAACGCTTCTGCTTGCGAACTGATCGAATGAACCCGTTCAATTGGATCTCCTGGTCCTCCAGACTAGATCCCTTCTGACTCTGCTCGAGGACCTGGGCGCAGCGAAGAAGCGTGGAGCCGGCGCTCCTTGCTGCTGGCCTATTGTTCAGTCGCGCAACCGATGTGGCGAACGTCCGCCGCCATGTCAGCATCTCTTCGAATCAATGGGAGAAATCGCGCGGGCCAGAAAGATAGATTGGAGAAAGTATCGCGGGTGTGCATCGGCGTGGAAGAAGTGCGCCGGGCCGATCGATGATTCAGCTCCGCAAGCCGCACGCGATAAGCCGCTCACTTATCGCTGGACCTCTTCGTTGTTACGTGCGACGGACAGCTACGAGCAGCTCTACGTTAAGCCATATACGATTAAATATTGTCACTTTTCTGATTTAGCGATGGAGTAGGGAATATGTAGCGTAATTCGCCCAAAGCACACGCATTCCAGCAGTATCAGTCTCAGAACAGACCGTAAAGTTCACAGCTACTTGGATCCCCAACGAGTCTGGGTCATATCAAGTTGTAAGAAAAGAAGTATTATTACCAAGTTGGTCATCACATCGTCGATCCCTGTTGTTCGTATGCCTTGCGTTCTTCCTCAATCATTTCAATCGCATCTGATACCCTGCCGTCTGCGGCCGCAGCATAAATCGCGATTCGTTGATGGCCACCATCGCTTGCGCCGCCATATCCCAAACTCACCAAGGTAGAGACGCAGTCGTCAATGTCGCGTTGCCTGACATCAGGATTGATTGCCTGAGTCTCGGAAGAAGGGGTTTCAAAACTGTTCCGACGTCCACCGCGGTGACGATGACGTCCTTCCGGTCTCCAGCCGAATATGCCGCGAGGGGCGTCCCACCCCGAGAATTCATCTTGCCAAGCAGAGCGGGGTCGCTGGCTCTTCCAACGTCTAACATGGCGGCGAGGGCCAAAAGATGATTCCTCATGGTCATGCACACCATGCAGATTACGGGTCTCTGAGAACCGTCCAGGCTGTGCCGACGAATTCTCACGGACCTCCTGCGGAAACGTGCCGGGAAGCCCCTGCAGCGCCGCATTGCCGTTCAAGTTTCTGGCTTCTGGTGCTTTACCGTCAGACCTCGTCTGTGCGCTGAATGAAGCCGCTTCCTTCTGCTGCTCAGCCAAAAAGTGCGCTTCGAGCTGTGAGACCGGGGGAAAGCGGCACTCTTCCAGTTCACGCGTAAGCTCGGGGATCCGATCAAATTCAGGACTCACGGGCTCAGAAGGCCCCGACTTGGGGACACCTTCAGGCAAGAGGGACGGGTAAAGTGAATTGAGCCGCGTGGAATCCCCCAAGGACGAGTCTTCCAGACTATTGGGAGACGCTGTGTTGCCCGGATTGCGATTATCATTGGAACACAAGTCCGCCACGGTCAAAGGGACGGCACGTTTACCGCTGAGCGATTTGGAATCATCTTGATTACTAAGTGATGTCTTCTCCAACTTGGCGGGCGTAGCTGTAGATCCTTGAAGCTCAGATGGAATGGACTTGCGTTCACTAACAGCAGGCATTGGACCGTCTGAAGTTGCTTGAGGAAAAGGTTCCTCAGGGTGCAGCCTGGTGACCGGGGTCTGCTCACTGAATTCCAGGTTAATTGCATGCCCATCAATATGCGTCCCCTGCAAGGCCTCCAGGGCCGCCTTTGCCGCAGGGACAGATGGGAAGGATAGGTAGCCAAATCCAGCGTGCTTCTCGGTCCCAACATCAAGAGGCAGATGTACATCTACGAGAAAACCCCGGGAGGCAAAGACGTCGCGGATCATCTTCTCGCTAACATTGAAGCCCACATTGCCGACGAACAATGATGTGTTAGTGGAGCTTTGTGTCTCTGTCGGCGTAGCATTGTGGCTAGAAGATGG